TTTCGTAACCTCGAAGGAAACTAGTGTCCCAAACTTGTCCTCTTCGTTCGATGCTAAAAACCATTCGATAAATATCCGTTTTTTTCATCGATCGCAAGCAAGCATTGACGAGTTCAAATTCAAGGAACAATAAAGATCGCGAAACGAAGGGAAGAATGGTGGGACGGGAAGGAAGCGAGAAAAAAAAGCGGAATGAATTATGACGGAAAGAAGAAGTTTCGACGAGGGAATTTTCGTGCGCTTCTTCAAACGATCGCCCCTCGACACGGTACACGTTAACACGTGTAAAGGGACGAATGATTAATTAAACGGAGGGCAGAGACACAGCGTGAAACGTCAGAGTGAATGATCGTGAGAGTGGTATCTGGTGGTTTCTTGCCCAAAGGAAGGAGAAAAAGGGCCAGGCTTTTCGTCACGGATCGTACATCATCCGTCGAAAAATCCCTAGACCGTTGTTCCAGCGATTTCATCCTCGGAGCCACTTGGCCGACGAATGATGGCCCTCTAAATCGGCGAGCATAAGAAGAAAACGACGATTCGTAAACTCGTTTCGATCAAATCAATTCACTTTCCGAGAAATCAATTCACCCAAAGAAATAATGGATCTTAAAAATTTAGAGATCATAGAATCGTCGATAAGTATTGAAAATTAAAAGAAATTGTTTTAAAACAAACTCTCTCAATAAAATCTCTTCTCATCTCATCTCGAACAACAGAGGAGAGACAACTCCATCATCCCGTGAAACACCCACCAACCAAGCTCCATCATCCCGCTTGGTCATTACCAAACCAAGAAAACTACCTACACGCAACTTGTAAATCCGACCAACCTAGTCACGCCTCCACTCAACCGCCACCTCGTACTCTCTCCTAACGAGCCAACCCAGAAAATTCCTTCAAGAACGATCCCTATCTCGCTAATCGATTCGACGAACCACCACAACTTTACTCTTCTCGCTCCAACGGATTTTCATCCAATTTTCATCCAATTTTCATCCAATTTTCATCCCGATGACGACGGAAAAGGAAATCTATCGATCCCCGATTTTTCCCTCCGAAAAAGGCAAAAGAGGATTCCAACGTCAATTAAATCCTCCCTGACTCCTCTTCCTCTTCCCGAACCGGAATACCGCGGACGATCGCGATTACGTCGGTGTATACGCGATTTATTTCCCCAGGTTTTATTCCGCGAATGTTGGCCGGCTGACTAACGTTGGAGAGGCACGGCGTGACAATAACCGCGGATAAAGGCGGCGGTGGCGTTGCACGCCAAGTCGCCGAGCGCCACGATCGAGATCGGTGGCAGGGGAGAGAAGAACGCGAGCGCGGCAACGGACACGGAACGACGACAAATAGGCTGCACGCACCACTTCTATTATCTCCCCGCGAAATGGGCGCCTTCCTCTTGCGATTCCCTTGCGTGGGTGTCGTTCACAATCCTCGCCCGGGTTTTTTCGTCCAATTCCATTTACCTTTCTGGATAAAAGGAATTTTTCTTTTTTCTTTTTTTTTTTTTTTTTGGCAGGGATAGGGATAGAGATAGAGGAGGATTTGAAAATTTCGAAATGTGTGTTTTGTCATTTTGAAGTTTATTGTATTGGATCTTTTTTTTTTTTTGTTTTTTGGGGGAATGTTCGATGATATCGACGTCTAAGTTCTTTTTAACTTTTCCTTCGTTTTTCTTTGGTCAAATTGAAATTATGGGTCCGTGTCTCGGTTGTCGAGGCACGTTTTGCGCGGACAGAGAAGCCGGCGAAAATGGGATGGTTGGCATCCGTGTGCAAGGAATGCACGTTTGAAATTAGAATGACAAAAGCCGCGCCCTAATGGCCGTTAAAAGGCCCCCGATGTGCCGGAACACGCTAACGGATCACAGAAACGCGACTCCCGACATCGAAACGGGGACTAGAAACAAGCTGCCAAGTTGAAATGTACTTGAATGGTGGCTTTTCGTTCGTTTTATCGGGATTCATCTAAAGTGAAACAAAATACGACGGATCGAATACGATAAAATAACGAATACCATAATAATAATATTTATATAGAGAGAAAATATTATTCCATTTAATTTCTTTATTAAAAGTTCTCGAATCAATTCCCAAAATTTAATATTTCTATATAATAATGAAACATAATCTGAATAATCTTGTTCAATCATATTCGTATATTTTATTTTATTTATCCTCTACAACTTTTCGCTCAATCTCATCGAGGCCCCCAAAACTTTACAACCTAAATAATATTTTCGTCCAATCCCAGAAGATCCCAGAGACTCGATCCAATCTCTCTAAAAAAGAAAGAATAAAATCAAACCTGTTCAAAATTCCCGATCAAATTATAAATGTGATCAAGTTATATTCTCAGAAAAGAGAATAACTCTCTCCGGGCTTCTCACGAAACACGATCACCTATCGTGCTAATGACACGCTAATTATCCCTGTCGCGATCATTCCCTCCGACAAAAAGGAGGAAAAAGAAAAAAAAAAAAAGGAAAAAATACTTGTCAGAAACAAGCGAGAGATATTTCTGTGGACGATGTATAGCACACGGAACAATGTGTACCGTGCCAATCTCGCCAGGCATAATAATGCCAATTACACCGAGCAATAAAGCTGTCATTACGATTGCATGAAAGTGCATTCCGTTCACCGGACCTACCGCAACGTGTGCAAGGGTGCACCGATGCTTTTTTTGCGCCGATTAAACGCCGGCCTCGGCTTCAAGCTTGAGGATTCTTTCAAAGAAGGATCCCTTCTTTTCCCTTCTTCGTATCTCGATTCTTTTCTTTTTTTTTTTTCTTTCTTTTTTTTTTTTTTTTTTTTTTTTTTCTTTCGTTTGCTCGCGTGTGGGACACGTTATTACGTCGTTAGCGAATTACATCTCTGTCGCTCGTTCGTTACGGATTATGCCGCTTCTGTCAAAGATTTGTGAAAGATCGGTTCCATTTTGGATTTTTTCTTTTTTTTACTTTTCTCAATATTGGGTTATTGGGTATGGAATTTTTATCGCGGATTTCTCGTGGATTTTTCTTCTGTATCGTTATACGGCGCATTGATACACGTTTTGTATAGATTTTTTCCTCGAGTCGTTGATATTTTTTTATATTCGATATCGAGTTTCTTGGAACGGTATTAGAATTGGAAATAAATTTAGACAAATCGTATTATTGTTATTCAGAATTAATGTTGAAGAGGATAATTTAAAAGGTAGTAAATTCACGTGTGGGGAATTAAAATTTATTCATCCACACTGTTGTAAATAGTAAAAGGATATATATTTTTTATTGAAACGCGATGGATATCTCTCGATTAATTCGAATAAATCCCTTTAAAAGCAAAAGGTAATTTATTTGATATTTATTTAACGATAGAGTAGAAATGAGTTCGATCGGTTTCCATTTCATGGTTACGAGCTGTAGACATTTGTGTTTATCAATACCGCAATCTCGACACGCGGAACCATGAGCCGTGCATACACACGATCGGGTGAACGCTTAATCGATTTAACGAAATCATTAAGCAAGCGTTCAGCCGTGATTCATTGACGCGTGTCTAAGAGCAAACTGTTCTCTCTTCTTTGTCTAAATTTTTCTTTTTTTTTTTTCCCCTCCAAATTTACAATATTTGCAACCTCAAACAAGAGTCGAGAAATATTGAACTCGATCTGTAATCGTGATATATATATAATCTTATTCGAATAAAACGATAAACTAAGCCTTTCGAATTTTAAAAAAATTGCGAGTGAAAATTTTCGCTAATATTCCTTCCTTTCAAAAGGGGATTACATAAATTGTAACTATTTCGCGGAAGATTTCAATTCCTATGTATTACTCGTTAATATTCGATATCAAGATAACGAAAAATTAAAGTGAGAATGTAACGAAGTATAGACGTTGAAATGGCGTCGGGGGAGAAATGAATCGCGCTTAACAAGATGGAAGATAATATCTATTCACGAAGGATGCATAAAGGAGATCAAGATCGGGTAAAGTCGTTTCGACGAGTCACAACGTACGACAGATTTTCAAAAGTGTCAACTGCAACGTTCAATTAGACGCGTGTGTAATCGCGTTTTGCAAATGCAATTCTTGAAACGAATATATCCGCAGCTGCGCTCGATTCCCGCGAACAGTTGTGCTTTTGTTTTCGATTAATCGAATCAGCCTTCTTAAACACGCCACGAAAACAAGGATATTTTTGTGCTCTGCTTTCCTTCGTTTTCCCTTTTAATCGTCGTGCACGATTAAACGCGGCGTAAAAATTTTCGATTCCGAGAAAATCGTATATATGGAGATAAATAATCGGCGGTGATGTCAACGCGCGTTAAACTCGACAGTTTTTCTATTTATTCGATATCACAAGTTTTTAACATTTCTGAAGACGAAGATGTAAGGAGAAAAATTGTCTGTCTCTAAATTTTTAAAAAGATGCGTTTTTAAAATGTCGAGGAAAGTGAATTCGAATTTAAACAAAAATTATGCGATTTTTAAAAACTAGGAAAAGTGTTCTGTGATGTATCTTCATGTTCTCTAATCTCTGTGAAAATTATGAAACTGAAGAAGGATATCACGATATATATATATCCATAAACGCGTTTACTATCCAGCATGAAAGGGAGAATATTCTAGCATCGGAGATTTACTCAATCACGATCGTGCATTTCTTCATCTCGCAAATGATTAATAGTTTACGTCCGCGGGACGACGGATATCACTTTTCAAAGAGATGGAGTAGAACGTCTGCTTACATAGATGACTTTATTGCGAGCTTTCAATATCCGATTTATTTCAGACTTGCGTACTTTTTTCACTTCACTTTCTTTTTCTTTTTCTTTTCAAATTTATTATATTAAATCTTAAAAATCAAATATCCATGAAATGAAATCACGATACAAAATTCTCTCTCACCTTTATATTATCCTCCATTTCGACACTTTTACACATAGCTATATATATCTATGTATAACCAAACCTGAGTCGCATTTTTTTTTTTTTTCCACAGATGACAACACACCAACTCCAATTGTGGAGAACTCGTCCAAGGGTAAAATTTACTTCGATGGCCGACGCCGCAAGCGCAGGTCTTTAACCGAGAAAAAGGAGCTGGAACGTTTCGAGGAGGACGAGATGTACAAGCAGTTCGTGGGACAAGCCGAGGGGCATCGAAATTTTTTACGAAACGATGCCAGGTACGAGAGTTTCTTTCTCTTCTTTTTCTTCTTTTTTCTTAAAGAACGTTTTCTTTGATCGGTCGTTAAGTTTCTGGTAAATTCTCGACGATATCCAAAGGGGTCTTAAACGTAATTTGATGCAACTTAAGGGGGAAACGGACGGAAGGATCGCTCGTTTAATATCGGCCGTGATGGATGGACGTAGGAAATCAGATTTGCACCTTGTAATTGAAATTGAATTATGGATATTAAAATGTTTCTGACGAATTATTAATGATAGTTGGCCAGGAAAACGCGTAAAGAAAATTTCGTTTCCAATGAAGAGGATTTAATCAATGGGAAAATCAAGAATGATCATAAAAATGAGCATTGAAAAATTCGTAGTAATAACAAATATCCTATATTATTATAATTTTTTTAAATTACTATAAAGATATAATGTAAATTAATTATCATAAATTCATAGAGAAATGGCAAAACTGGCGTTGAATTACGAATTGACGAATAATTAAATCGCGACGTAGCAAAGAAATTAAAAGATGTGTGACAATACGATCGTGATCTCGAATAGTATAAATTTGGGATACGTTTGAACATATAATATATATATACAACAGTAAGTTATCATCAAAAGAGAAACAGTTGGTAAATGAGTACTTTCAACGCAAGGCAGAGATTGATCATCGTATTAATCTCGTGCCCGTTTGCATCATAAAATCGTGAAACGTCATACGTCACAAATGGTAGCTCGTATTTTTTTTTGGTAAATTTAATACGGTTCATCGGGCCTCGATGATGAGGAAAAAAATTGCACAGTTCTTTTCGAAGAACTTTCACGACTTTCTCGCGAGATATGGGGTGCGGTGGAATCCATTTGAGGAATATTCCACGACAAATATCGTTTTACAAATAATTTCCAAAGAAGGGAATCGAGATACACTCGAGTCTGAAATAACGTCGTGTTTAATATTTTTTTTTTTAAATAATTTTTCGATCGAGCATCTTGAAAGAAACTGTTCGATCTTCTGTTTTATCTATTATAATCCAGTGTTTTTTTTTTTTTTTTTGAATCTGAATCCATTGATGCGTTGTTAAATTTATCTAATATCTCTAATAATAATATAAAATATAATTCAGCTGCAATTGGATACAAATTACGGTGAGAACGAAGCACAATGATTGAGAGCCCGTGTGAACGTTCAGATGGAACCAGGCAACGTTCTCCAGTTCTTCTCCAGCGTGAAAAGCCTAAGAGGAGGATCGTTTGAAACGTTACAGATACTACTCCGTGGAGAGAAGACGAAATGATCTGAGCGAGGAGTATGGCCAGGACTCGGAAATGGAATCGGATCCCTCCGTGACTTGGAGACCACGTAGAGCCTTGTCAAGTGAATATTTCATCGAGATCATGGTGGCTGCAGACGCGGAGATGGTGAGGTACCACGGCAAAGGTTTGCTCAGCTACATTTTGGGCCTGATGAGCACGGTAAGAATCTTATTCTTACATCTTATCTGCGTTACTCGTTTATTATATTCTAAACAGAATTTTTTGAAAATTATAAATTCTCGATAATCTGAATAAATTGTGAACGAATTTTTATTTAATTTTTCAAGAATAAAAAAGAATAGGAAATAATAAATTTTGTATAAAGATCTGTTACTTAATTGCAGATATATTTTTCCTTGACAATAAAACATATGAATAATAAAAGCTGTAGGAATATCGCGCAAAATTAAATAAAATCGTCCCTTGGGATACCAATGTACAAAAAACCAGATATTTATTGCAGAGCATAAGTCTGACATTTGTTTGAATATAAAATATCATTGTATATAATAAAAAAAAAGAACAATGGTGGACTAAGAAAAGATAATAAAAAAGAAAGGTTGACAGATCGTGTGGGTGTATCACTTTGTTCGAGCATGGTTTTGGTAAAGCCAAAAAGAGAAATATATATCACTGTGTAGAGAAAATACACATGGTGTTTTTCGTGTATGATCGCTCTTGTAAGTCAAGTAGATCTAAATATGCAACATCGCAATTTTTAGTTAATTTCGAATATCGAAATTAATTCGTATTTTTTTTAATTATAATTCTTTCTGCAGTAATTTGTTTTATTTTAATTTAAAAATTTAAAAAATTAATGCAGAAAGTACTTAACGAGTACTCGAGGAGATCTATACAAATCTTTACATCGAAAAAATCGTACGAATTATCAACATTACGAATTATCAACATTCCTTGCTAATAGAAAACTTCGTATTCAACAGTTCAAATTAATAATTAATAGAGTTAATAATTTAAAAATTTCCAAAAAATCTTTCAGATTATTAGACAACAACGTACATACGTATAATTTCGAAAAAGGCAAACGAATACGAGGGAGCAATCACCAGCATCCCTCCAAGAAACCCACCAATCTCTCTTTCAATATACCCCGTATCGTATTCGATATCGCACCATTTCCTCCGATTTATTACCTCCGCCTCGAGCGAGGTATGGAGAACCATAAGAGGAGGTCCTAGGAAAGTGTGATTTTCGCGAGCAAAGTGGGGCGAAGGGTCATCGATCATCTTTAATCGGGCGAAATTTCATTGCGAGAGATTAGCGACCCCCTCGGGGGTTGACGTAATGGACGTGCCTTGTCGCCGTGAGGAATACAATCCTCGGCGACGACAAGCCGAATCGCATTCCGCGAGATAACCGAGATCCCGGACATTTAGAAGGTATAATACACGTGGTGCGCCGTGTTCCGGAGGAGCATAAATTCTCGAGCGGACGCCCCGCCCCACACGCAGACGCCGTGTAAAATTCATTTGGCGAGAAAGAATAGAAAGTACAAGTTTGCACCTTGGCTATTATAAATCCGGGGCCCGATACGATCGCGGCGCTACCTAACTAACTATTATACCTTTAACGTTGACATTTCGGCCGCGATTCGACTTTGGAATCCGACTCGTTTTACCACTTACTTGTTTCGAACAGTTTGGAACACGTGGCTCGGCCGTACAACCACTTGCCGCGATTTAAAGGGAATTATTAAGAAGGAAAGATTTTTTTCTTCTTTTTTAATGTAATTCATATATCCGAAAATTGATACCAGATGTCTCTCTAAACGAATGGAAGATCCAAATTTTTCGTATCTTACGAATGTAAGAAGATTGCAGCTTCCTTTCAAGAACAATTCTCTTTTTTATATATATATATATATATCTGTGTGTTATAAGTTAATAGGAAGTAAAATCTCCTTAATGTTACAGATATATTGGAATTAAATTTCTTTGGTATATTTTAATTATATAATACATCAAGATGGATCATGAATTCTTGCCAAGAAGTTCTTTCGATGTTATCGGTTTTGAGGAAATTCGAGTTTCCTGACTCGAGGTTGGAACGTTGCACGCGCCATATTGGATCTATCCGCGAAACTCTTGATCCCAACGCTACTAATCGAGCGGTCCTCGGCGAAACGAATCATTTATTTCTTCTATTTTCGCCTGCTTCCCTAGGCGCCGCTTGCAAAACCAGACCAACGTGCATAAATTACGACATTGGTTCACGTTCCTGGAGAAAAGTGTAACGGATTAGTGCGCGAAAGCAGCAAGATCGGCGAGACACATCCCACGTGAACGTTATTCAAAGTTTGATTATCGCCTGTATCGATCGTATAATCGCTCGTTGATCGGATCGATCAGGAAACGATCAATCCTTCATCCTCGTTAGAATAATCAGATATGATTTCCCCATGTTCCATTATCTTCATTCATCTTTGTAATTATACGTATCGAATTAATCGAATTTGAGAATAATTGCAATAATATTTTTCTAGTAATATATTGTATATAGTATATATAGTATAATTATATTGCTCTTCGTTCGAGAATGTTCAAAATTATTTATACAGATAATTCCAAAGCTCACAAATTTTCAAATGATGAAATAAAATTCAACAGCAAACAGTTGTTGACGAAGAATCGGGGAAATTTGGTTGAAATAACAGGGAAGGAGGAATCGATATCATCGATAAACGAATGATTCAAATATAATTTGACTTAGCCTCGCGATTGTCAACCAGGTCATTACCATCCGGTCGGTTGCATATCCCACGCGAGACGGACCACACCTCGGAGAAGAGGGCAACATCCCACGAAGCGTCCGGGACTCACTTTCACGTGCCCACGCCCGTCATTCATACGACGATTCAATCAGCCGTCCCCGGCCTGTCGATCGCCTTTTGATATTCATCGTTCCTCTTATTTATTTATTCATTTTCTCCCTCTCTCTTTGCCGAATCGCGATGAAATCTAATTTGACATCGCGTCGAGCGCCAATTTGATAAGTTGAAAAGATTACACGCTGGACGTGTATATGTTCTATTATCGATTGTCGATAGATTAATGTACTGTTATGAATTTATAATAATTATTTGTTCATTTCCATGGATATTTGCTATTTCCAAATGAACAATTTTGGATCAAAATAATCTAATATAAAGTTCAATGCGAAGAAAAATGGGAGATCTTGATTCTTGATCGCAAAGATCGACATAAAATCTTTATGTCAAAGTTTTAAAAAAAAGAATCGAGGGGATTAATGGATATCTGCCACTTCCAAATGAACAACTTTGGCTCAAAATACGAAAAAAAAAGGGAGATCTTGATTCTTGATCGCAAAGATCGATATAAAATCTTTACGTTAAAATTTTAAAAAAAAGAATCGAGGGGATTAATGAATATCTGCCACTTCCAAATGAACAACTTTGACTCAAAATAATCTAATATAAAGTTTAATGTGAAAAAAAAATGGGAGATTTTGATTCTTGATCGTAAAGATCGACATAAAATCTTTATGTCAAAGTTTTAAGAAAAAGAATCGAGGGAATTAATGGATATCTGCCAAAATCTTTACGTCAAAGTTTTAAAAAAAAGAATCGAGAGGATTAATGGATATTTGTCATTTTCAAATGACAACTTTGGCTCAAAATAATCTAATATAAAGTTCAATGCGAAAAAAAATGGGAGATCTTGATTCTTGATCGCAAAGATCGACATAAAATCTTTACGCCAAAGTTTTAAAAAAAAGAATCGAGGGGATTAATAGATATCTGCCACTTTCAAATGAACAACTTTGGCTCAAAATACGAAAAAAAATGGGAGATCTTGATTCTTGATCGCAAAGATCGACATAAAATCTTTACATCAATGTTTTAAGAAAAAAAATCGAGGGGATTAATGGATATCTGCCACTTCCAAATGAACAACTTTGACTCAAAATAATCTAATATAAAGTTTAATGTGAAAAAAAATGGGAGATCTTGATTCTTGATCGTAAAGATCGACATAAAATCTTTATATCAAGGTTTTAAAAAAAAAGAATCGAAAGGGTTAATGAATATCTGTCATTTTCAAATGAACAACTTTGGCTCAAAATAATCTAATATAAAATAATATAAAATTCAATGCGAAAGGAGATGAGAGATCTTGATTCTTGATCGCAAAGATCGACATAAAATCTTTACGTCAAAATTTTAAGAAAAAAGAATCGAGGGAATTAATGAAAGAATAACTTTATCCACGTTAACAAACTCTGTTTCAACACGCTTTCACGAGAAAGTGAGACAAAGAGAAACGGTTAACAAATTTGGAACAATCGTTACTAGGATGAGACCGATCCACCTCGTTTCCAATATTTCTGTTGCTACTTACTTAAATCACTTGAGCCACGTCCAATCTCGAAAACCATTTTAAACCGTCTTACGACCGGTCGATAAGATTACGGGGAGCAATCGGGACAGCATCCACGGGGCCTTGCGTATCGGATAGAAACGTTCGCGCGAAGAGAAGACTCGACAACGTCGACCGACGACGATTGACCGAGTTTCGAGCGAATTTATGCCCGATGCACTGTGTCGACCCTGCGCGTTTAACAGTTATCTAGCGAGGAACGGCTCGATAATCGTGGACGCGTGCTTCGAGTTAATTGAAATATTAAATTTGGGATTGCGCAAGCTGGGATCGACGATAAACAAAATTTGTTTTATCATCAACGAATGTGTCAAACGAGTGACGAACGAGATATCGTAATCGATTAATTATAAATGTATATTTAGTCTTCTCTTTTTCACCCGTATTAAAGCATCGGATTCTTTCAGTAGTACAGGTCTATTGTTCAGTCTGACGCAATGGTGGAAGATGTCGCGCGGCTTCGATTCTTTTCCATTACTTTTTTCCTCTCTTTTGCTCCTTGTTGTTGTTATTGTTATTATTTCTCTGATACTATACTATGGACTTCCTCTTCTGAAAAACTTCCTTCCTTCCTTCCAACACTTGCAATAAACTATCATTAAGTATCAAAACACGTCAAAAGAAAAAACTTGAACCCGATTCCCCTTTCTACATTCTTTCTTTCGATTCGCAAAATCAGCGATAAGAAGAGATTCGAAAACTTATTGTAGATCACGTTTTCCCCATTAGCCTGAATAGTTGGAGCAACGAACGGAACGGAGCGAGAGGGCGCAGGCAGCTGTCACCTCGATAAATATGAATTTTTGTCGCCGGTGTATAACCCATTTAACCATACCTGTTACAGCGTGGGGCGAGAATCCTCGTTCGAGCTCTCGACGTGACCACCTCGTGACGTGGAAATCGAAAAAACTTGCCTTCTCGCGCGCGCATTACGCGCTCTCCTCCCGGTGACACGATTCGATTCCTATACAACCGGTCCAACGAGGCCCTCCTCGTTCTCTTTTTTCCACCTTTTTGCCCGCGTTATCGCGTCCTCCCTTCGACGATCTCGATCGGTAAGTCGGGAAGATCGAGCGGGCCGTGTGAATCGTGACAATGTTGTAAATCTCGAAGGGTTATTGTGCAAACTAGAACGTAGTAGAACGTTGATGGAATTTAATCGAATTCGATTCGAGAAATTGAAATGCTCGTAACGTGATTGGATATGCGTGAAATCGAGGGAATGTTGTTCGTTTCAAATATAGGAAGAGATATTAGTGGCGGGAAAACGTTTTTATTGTAAATGAGAGAGTTTTTATTCCTCGTGGAACAAAATTAAACGTGGTAATCTAGAAGAGCGATCGTTGGTTTTTTTTTTTTTTTTTTGTTAGAAAAATGGGATCATAGATCGAGAAAGGGGATTGAATCGATTGGAAAGAAATTGTATTATTGAAAATAGGTTAAGCGATAAATAATATTACATACTTTTCGCATTTTAGTTGAGATTGTCAATAGTTTAGTTTCGAGGATAAAATCTACATATACTCATGTGAACATTTAATTATAATTGTAAATTAATATTAAAATTTATTATACGTATAATTATAACTTTTCTATATTTAAATGTGAATATGTGATCTAATGAATATTTCTTATATTTTTTCTGATATATTTTTTTACTTTATTTATATTCTGGTTTACACAATATTACAAGTGTGTATACCATTATCACAAAATGAACGTATAATTTATTATCTCGCAATAAATATTTTCACAATTATTTTCAAAATTATTTAAATTCTTATTAGAAAAATTATCTCCTCTTTTTATTTCTGATGTGAAGATGCTACTTCTTTCGATTCCACAATAATCCCTCCATTTAAATAAAAAAAAAAAAAAACATCCGCTTCAATAATACAATTTCTTTCCAATCTCCTTTTTCGATCTATGGTCCCATTTTTCTAACAAAAAAAAAAAACAAACGATCATTCTTTTAAATTACCACGTTTAATTTCGTTCCACGAGGAATAAAAACTCTCTCATTTACAATAAATACGTTTTCCCGCCACTAATATCTCTTCCTATATTTGAAACGAACAACATTCCCTCGATTGTTTGATTCTTACATACTCTCCAAACAAAGAAAAAAAAAAAATTGATCAAAGACGGATGAAAAACTTAAAGAGAAAATCCACGGGGATTTCCATCACACCACCTCGATTAATTCGTTCAGCCAATTAATTCGTCTCGCTTTCTTTCGCCGTATTATTGTCGGCCAGATAACGATCGACAGCACCACTTAGAACACCTGTTCTTGCCTCAATCGTTCTAAACTCTCCTCCAGCCGCGTTCACCGACGTCCATGGCCTGTCGAGGAGCCATTTTGAAACGTCACGCAGTCGTGGAAAAGAAAAAAGAATAAATTTACAAGGCAAATCACGCCGGATCGTGGATTGAAACGCGTTTAATCAATCAATTACCAGCGAGCACGAGCTGGTGATCCTGAACGTGCACGAATCTGTTGTAATCGTGCTAACCGTTTCCAGAGCAAAAATCTTTGAAGAAACAACCGCAATGGAGTAACACATCAGTCGAGGAATTATTCCAATTGAACGCATCAAGCTCTCTCTTTCGTTCGTTTCATTTAATAAAGTTCGTCTCAGTTCGAGACGGCTGGTTAATCGCTCGAAACGAAGATTTTCTGGGATCAGTAAGTAAATTGGGGGATTGGTAATCTACGCGCTGTAACGAATCATTATTGAACAATTAGGGGTCGGTTTAATTGCGGATCATAGTTAAGGGAGCAGACAAGAATTAATTGGGATCGTTTGTAGGCGTAGCTTGTTGTTTGAATGGATTCGATTTCGTTCAAGGAGGATGGTGGATGAGTAAATAAGGATACCTCTTCTCGATCATGAACTTTACTTATTTTAAGTTTTTCTCTCTCTTTCTCTTCTTCTAATTTCTAAATTTTGAAATTTTCAAAATCGTTCTTAGATTCTTACGCTCTTTGCTGACTTTTTTTTCAATCCGTAAAGATTGTAAATTTTTTCTTATAAAACTTTGAACTCCCCAAAACTTTTCAACTTTCGTGAATTTTCAAAGTTTCTCGAAATCATCAAGCATCCGATTAAACTATCATTAAATTCTTCCTTTTCACATCCTTCAACTTGGTATAATAAAATCGTGAATCAGAATGAAATTCACATTGATCGGAATCAACATCGGTCGTCTTATCCAAAAGTTATTTGCTCGACCAAATGCGTCGACCAAAAGGAGCAGAAAAGAGAAAAAAAAAAACGAATTAAAAGGTGGTCTGTAAACGTGGAGTAAGTAGCGTGTAATTAAAAAGCAACGAGGAGAGGATCTTGACCGATGTAATCGAAGAGCAGCCACGCATCCTCCGCGTTTTATCATACGTCCCACGGATTCGTTCCAAAGGGAGATTGGGCGATCCCTGTTGGGATTCGAGACACGCTACTAATTAAGACTGTGTCCCGCATTGTTTATGCACGGTATGTATGTACTCGTTTTGCTCGTGCCTCGTGTCTCGTCTCTTTGATACTTTCTTTCTCCAAGGGCCTCGCCCTTTCCTCTTCGAACGACTCATCAACGATGCGATCGGGCTCGCCTTTGTAAAAATCATTGTCCCACCGATTATTAAACGAGTGGAGTGCGTGCTTCGAGTAAGAGAAGATGTCGAGGGGGATATTTTTAAAGTTTAAGGCTGGAACTTGTGTATATTGTCGTTATTTCTTTTTTTTTTTTTTATTGATTAATTTTTATTGTAAATATCTCAAAAGTGATTATAATAAGATATAGTTTTCAAGCATAATTTTTTTTCTTTTTTTATTTTCGTTTGAAATTGTAACGAGAGAAATGATTGTCGTTGAAGAGAAAATGTTTGAATAAAATATAATTGAGAAAGGATTGAAATATTTTATGTATAAATTATGTTGAAATTATTTCGAAATCATTATCGTTCTGTTTTATGTCTCAAATTTTGTGTTGAAAACGTTAAAGAAGTCGTTAAAGATAATTGATAAGAAGAATTTGAATAAAGAAACTTTTGTTATTTTAATGATTCAAAGATAGTTTCTGTGTGATTTTTTCCCTGTTTCTTCCGAATGATTTATAAAATTTTTATGTTTCTATTTATTTCGTTTTATCTTTGAAATATTATTTTTAAAATAATATATCTGTCTAATGTATCTTTCTTGAATTTAAGAAAATATTCAAAAAAATTATTCGCAAGGAATATCAAAATTAAAATAATTTTCACAAGATATTTACTCACTTTTTTGTAATTGAAATTATAAAAAATACGAGATCTATGATATATCGAAATAATACATTCAAAATGAAACTCAACGCAAGAGAATTAAGTTTCAAACAAATCTCAAACAAAATAAAAATTCCAAGTTATTTGCATTTTCAATTTGCAATCAATCATATGCTTGAAAAAAAAAGAAAAAAAGAAAGAAAATCCACTGAGAAACGATTGGATAATTCAAATATCTTGAAAGTAGTTCGCGAACTTCCCTATAAGATTCGATTGATTTATTATTAGTATAAGCGACAGCTCTGAACTAGTTATTTATAAGTTGTTATCGAGTTTAGAAAGTTAAAAGAAGCGTAGAGGAACGAGGATTTGCGTGATAGGCTCTTGATAGACTAATCAGACGAATGTTATCGTAGGAGAGGACATAAATTAGAAATCTCTTGCTTAAAAAGTTTTTGTTACATTTCGCCTTTTTTCGCTTAATTAACGCAATTACGTTAACGCATTTTTATTCGATCCTAATCTTCGAAAAGTATCTTCGACAAATAAATCAAGCGAAGAGAAACATTGGTAGAATAATTTTTACAGGAAAAGATTATTAGAGAAGCTGACAAAAATTAAAAAACATTAAAACATTATTTATTTCAATTACAATAATACTTTTTTTACTCTTTTTCTCTAGTGAAGATAAAAAAAAAATCCTACAATTGCTACTTCATAGCTTGAAACTTTTTTTAAATTCTGATTAAACTAAATAAAAATGAATATAGTAAAATATAATAAAAACGTAAAATATTTTGTCCCGATAAAAATCTCTCTGAATAAATATTCTTCTTCTTTCAGGTGTCACGAATCTACAAAGATCCATCTATCGGTAATCCAATAAGCATATCGGTGATGAGCATCGTTCCAATTGATAAAATATTCGGGGTTAGACGTACAAAGGGTGAGGGAATCGCAGCGGCAGACATGTTGAATAAGTTTTGCCGATGGCAACAGAGCAACAATCCGAATGAATATTCGCCAGGACATTACGATACTGCTCTTCTTTTGACCAGGTACTCGTTAACTTATTTCAAAATGGTTCCAAAATTTTTCTAATATAAAATTTTGTAAAATCGTTTATAAAGACTCTTCTAACGCTCCACTAGCTAACTTCTTCAGAAATCTAAGGATGGACTGATACTCTGGTGTGTATCTTATTATTAGATTTGTTATTGTTATTTTGTAGCCATTTTGCGAGCGATTGATCGAGTTAGTTATTATTGATTTTATAGCGTAGGAGAATATTTTTCTATGTAATATACTTCGATCGAAAAATTCACTGAACGATCTTGATTTCGTTGTTGGAATTAATTTAAAAGATTCATTAAAATTACGGGCAAGCAATCTCAAGTTGTTCAAAATTTGAAAAAAAAAAAAAAAGTACTTTTAAAAGATATTGATAATATTAAATAATAAAGGGAAATATATTTACAGGGAAAATCTGTGTCACAATTCTGACCAGAGGAATTGCGACACTTTGGGATTGGCCGAGTTGGGACGAATGTGTTCACCAAGATCCTCGTGCGCTATAGTTCAGGATAATGGTCTAGCTGCTGCATTTACAATAGCTCATGAGATTGGCCACGTGTGAGTAAAATTATCAAACATATTGATTCTTTTAAAAACAAATCAAATATCGAATATTTTTATTAATAATTGCAATAACGAATTATTATTGAATTATCATAAAATACCGATTATTAAAAATTATTCTTCCAATCAATATAATTGTCTCATCAATTTTGATATTATATTAATATATTAACATTATTGCACAAGATTTGATCTAAAAATCTACTTGCATTTTAGATTGGACATGCCCCACGACGATGACGTGAAATGTGCAGCCTATAAGAATCGTTCCGGAATGCATAACATAATGTCGAGGATGCTGGACGATAACACCTTTCCATGGGAATGGTCGAAATGTTCCCGACACTACGTCACCGAATTTCTCGAGTGAGTCAGTCATTACCTTGACAGGCCACTAAGCCATCTTCGTTCCGAAAAGCGTGACACTGATAGATCGCCCCTTGAACACATCTCAGACTTCATTAGTCTAGAATTTAGGATTTGCTTTTTCTTCATCAGGTCACCGATGATCACGCGTATTCTTTGAAGAATATTCGTTTAAAGAAATTTGTCGTTGTTTCTTTTGAGAGAGAGAGAGAGAGAGAGAGAGAGATTCAAATGGTAAACCATACAATCAATATAAAGACAGTGAAATCATATAAAATTGTGAAATGATCGTGATGATAAAACTATGAATAAGATGTAATTAATTTTCATAAGTAGAATTTTAAAAAATAAGTAAAATCTACTTTCCATGTAATTCAAAAAGATAAAAGTCAAATGATTTAAAGGAAAAATATATCTAGGATAAGCATTTAAATAAATATAGATGAATAAATTATATTCTTTATAAGAAGAGTAGCTTTCCAACTAGCATCAACAATTAATAGATTAAAATTTATCCAAACTCTTCTCAAATTGAAAATATCATCGCTTGTACCATTTTTTCTCCAAGTTTCTCAAATATTATATTATATTTTGTGAGGAGACTAAGAAACTAGGAAAGTAGCAGAAATCATAAATCACTGCATCCGTTGGGAACAAATCCAAATTGGATTCGATCGGACAACTCGATTCTGCCGTAAATTTTTCTGCGAAGAAGGCGACTCCTCGCTTAGGAATCCGGTTCCGCTGCATTTCTGAATGACCGCCGCGCACACCGGCGGATCCCATCCGTTTCCGACAAAAATTCGGTCCTCGAATGATGCACGAGCCCCCCTCCGGACGACCCGTTCAAGTCTCGTGAAATTCGTTTCAGGGCCGGAAAGGGGGACTGTTTGCTGGACACGCCGGATAAGATAATGGAACGAACGGACCCGAGAAGGCTACCCGGGGAAGATTATTCTGTGAACAAGCAGTGCGAGCTGGTATTCGGTAACGGGTCCAGAATCTGCAATCACATGGTGGGTGATGGTAAGTCAGTAAGTAAGTTCTTGTACGTATGTATTGTTGAAGGATGGATTATTTACGACATTGTTATAAGACTTTATTAATCGCCATTAATCATTTTATAATTATCAATTCATAAAGTCATTTATTAATTAAAATTTATTAAAAAATTTTGAATTGTTTCTGAAATTGAAGAAAATGATTTTTAAATGTGTGTATAGTTACATTGAAAGTTTTAAAAAAAAGAGAAGATGATCACAATTATTAATTTTGATTGACTGTCTTTTTTGAATCCTTGAATTTAAGAGTTAGCAATATTATATTGAATGAACAATATTGTATAAATGCAATATAAATGCAAAATTGGCCATACATGATATTGAATTATCATGATCAAAATCTCAGAAATTATTCAGATTGATGAGTTCGCGTTAACTAAGTAAATAAGTTATAATAAATAATTATTTCGAGTATCGTGAACAGTGCGCAGCGAACGTAGTGCTTAAGAATTGAGATAAACTGAGCGGTTGGTTGGTTATCGGCCAGGCAGTGTGCAGAAGACTGTGGTGCACCACACCGAACGAAGACCATTACGATCACTGTCGTACCCAGCATATGCCGTGGGCTGATGGCACTTCCTGTGGCCGAGACAAATGGTGTTATCGAGGCGAGTGCGTCTCACGTAGTCTCAATCTCCAGCCGGTTGACGGCCAATGGGGCGAATGGGGACGATATGGAAAATGTTCGAGAACCTGCGGCGGTGGTATCAAGAAGAAATACCGTGAATGCGACAATCCACTTCCGCAGAACGGTGGTCGTTACTGTATTGGTGAACAGGTCAAATATAGAAGCTGTGGTACGAGGGAGTGCCCACCGGGAACTCCTGATTTCAGGTATTTTATTTTATTTTTCAGAATTCAAACTTCGTTTCAGATTATACTTTATTTGAATTTAAATAACTTTGACGTATAGATTTTTTTAAATATGAAATTTTAACAAAAGAGATAAAAAGAGAAATGTAGTAAAAATAAAAAGGTTATATGATGATTAAGAGAAAGAAGATTATGAAAAAAAATTTATAAGCTTTACAATATTCAATTTCCATGGTATATTTACCATGATATATTTATAATTGTAAGAAATTACAAATGAAATTAATATAACATTCCTGAAGAAACTAACTTAATTCTCAATAAAATATTCTCGACATTTTCAAACTTTTGCTATATTTTTCTTATTTATCTCCATCATATTCCTAATTCCTATTCCTATTTCAATTTCTAGGGATCAGCAGTGTTCATATTTCAATAACAACAATTTGAACATAAAGAATCTGTCGAGGGACGTTAAATGGCACGCCAAGAGTGAGTATAATAATCCGGATTCTGGCACATGGCTGAGAATGTCGTCGATCGCTTCTCTCGTCCTCGAATTACAATTTCTCTTCTTTCTTCCTGGTTCACAGTATTGCCGCATGAACGTTGTAAATTGTACTGTGAAACGGACAGCAATCAGTGTTACCCGCTGGCGGAAAAGGTGATCGATGGAACTCCATGCGACCAGGATACCTTTCATATATGCGTGAATGGCTTCTGTAAACCAGCGGGTTGCGATCACGTTTTAAACTCGACGGCGGAACTCGATATATGCGGTGTCTGCAAGGGTGACAATTCCACCTGTCAATGGATCACAGGTTCTTATAACTCTACCCAATATGGTTATACCAGAATCGCCAAGATCCCAGCGGGTAGCAATAACATCGACATCAGACAACCTGGTTGGAAAGATATGATAGATGATGGCAATTATCTCGGTATTTGATTCGTATTTATCTCTTTTTGAGCTTTGAATAACATGTATCTAATATCTTTCGAGATTGAATTTTTTTATTTTGAGAATATTTCTAAAGATTTGCCTGATTAAATATTTTTTAAGAATTTTTATCTGGAAAACTAGAAAGAAGACTTGAAAAACTTATTTATTCAATTTTACCCATATTTCTTTTAGTTCAATTTTTTATTCATACATTATATTTATAATAATTATTAATCTTTAATACTTAAATTTAAATGATTAAATATAAAAATATATTTTTATAATATAAAAGTATTGCAAAATACTTTTCTTAGAAAAATTCTTAAAGAATTAATAAACTTTATTATTATTGTTGAGAAATATTGATTTTTTTTAGCCTTGCGACTTGGAGAAGGTGGAAAATATATAGTAAATGGCAATTTTAAAGTGATGACACAAAGGGTAATCGTAGATATTGGTGTCACTATAGAGTATAGTGGACGTGATTCGCGTGTGGAACGTTTAAACACTTCCAGACCAATCGAAACTGACTTAATCCTGGAAGTAAGTATGTGCAATTAATTTTTTTCAAAATAACCACATTCTATTAACATTAATAAATAATTTGAATTAAATAATTGAATTAAAAAATAATGAAAATAATTGAAAAAAAAATAAATTTTCAGGTTTTATCAGTAAGCGAATTAAATCCACCTCAAATTAGTTACAAATATACAGTGCCAAGAAAGATTTTAGAAAGTTATGAATGGAAATTAAGCGGCTGGTCGGATTGCACTCGCACATGTCAAGGCATAAAATATCGTAAAGCTGAATGCACGAATATTGAATACAAAGAGATTGTTGCCGATGATTATTGTCGCGAATCAGAAAAGCCACGGGAAGAAAGTCAAATGTGTAATAATCACTGTCTATTAGAGTAAGTATATATTGTTTAAAATTTTAAAAATTAATTAGTTCCTAATTAATCTCATAATCAATTAAATTATATTTCTAATTTTTATTATATTTTCATCATTTTAAAAAATATTTTAAACTTTTTTATTATAATAAATTTAAAATATTATTTAATAAACTCATTATCAATCTTTATAATAATCAACATAATTAATTTATTATTGATTATGATTTTTTATGAATATTAACAACATATAAAAAATTATATTTTTGTAAATTATTCCAGATGGAATATCACAGTTTCCGAATGCTCTAATCACTGTGGCTTAGGAACTCGTGTAGTCACCTCTAGATGTATACAAAAATTATTGAATTCGAATCATCCACCCCGTGCAATTCCACCGCATTCGTGCGCTCATCTTGAGCGGCCAAATGAAATAGAATCTTGCATGGGACCCTGTGAAGATGCTCATTGGAGTTATGGAAAATGGAGTGCTTGCAATGCTACATGTGGAGGTGGAATTCAATATAGGACAGCTATTTGCATAGACTCCAATCAAAGAACAGTTTCTGAAGAGAATTGTATGGGACAAAGGAAGATTTTAGAAAATGCATGTGCAAATGACCCATGTCCCAAATGGACTTTCAAAAATTGGAGTAATGTAATTATTTATCTAAATTATTTTGATTTTTTTGTATATGTTAAATTAAATAACATATTACATTAATTTAATAAACTTATTTATTAATCAATACATAAACATAATTATTTTAGAAATTTATTTTTTTTTTATAATAGTGCTCAGTAACATGTGGCATAGGCAAACAATACTCACATTATGCATGTCACATAGAGAACCGCGTCGTTCCAGATAGTTATTGTGGTAAACCCCCTCCAGAAATTACTCAAGCTTGTAATTCTGGACCTTGTGAACAATGGCACAAGGGTGATTGGAGCGCAGTATGTAACAAAATTATTAATTACATTATAAATAGACATTATAATTACATTATAATATTTGAATATAAAATGATTCTAAGAAATTATAAGATTGTAATTAATAATTAATGATTATTTGAATGAAATATTTTAAATATATGAAATTTTTATTTGCCTAGTGTTCAGTTACTTGTGGTGAAGGGATAAAACGAAGAAAAGTCATTTGCAAGACTTTTGATGGAATTACAAATAATAAATGTTTGGCTTCCAATAAACCAGATGATATTACAGCTTGTATATTGAAACCTTGTCCAACAGTGGTACATTCTTGCTTTAATATTCTTATTGTTTATTTTATTCATTATTTTAATACATAAAATTATATAATTTTCCTATAGAATGTAACACCAATCAAATATTCTTCTGATCCACCATACGAAATTCCTTCCGAACAAGACAACGAAGTTCACGATATAATTTTCCATTATGGATATAAGTGGCATGCTGAAACACAAAAGGTTACTATTTGTACAATTATAGTTCTCATTCAATTTTATAATTTTCACAATTTTATAACTTTCACAATTTTAATTCAAATTCAAATTCAAAGATTTTAATAACTTTTGCAATTAAGTTTTAATATATAAATATAATTATTAAATATTTAATTAAAAAAAATAATAAACTTATCTTATTATTTATATTTCAGTGTTCTAGACCATGTATTAAAGGCTACATGAACACAACAATAAAATGTGTTTCCATTGAAACAGGAATTGTTGCACCTGATAGATATTGCGATAATGAAAAGAAACCATCTACTGAAATTCCTTGCAATCGTTATCATTGTCCAATATGGATTACTAGTGATTGGGGCCAGGTTAGTTAATGAGTAATTTATAAAATAACAACAATATCGATACTTTATTTATGATATTTAATAATACTAATGTATATTTATAATACTAATGAATATATTTACAATTTAGTGTAACGTAGAATGTGGATTAGGAACTCAATATCGACGAGTATATTGTCAAAATCCACAAGGTGAAAGTATACCAGACGAAAACTGCCATAAGAGCGAAAAACCAGAAGCAGAGAAAATCTGTCGAAAAAGACTTTGTGTAAATATTCTCCGCAAATGGAGAACTTCTAATTGGACTCCTGTAAGTACCATCTTTCTTTACTATTTTCTTTTTAATGTCGCTTTTTTTTTTATACTAAGTAAATTAATCATAACCGATTATTCGATTTATAACTACAGCATTGCTATATATTATTGCGAATGAAAAATAAATTTATAATTTTTTGCTTATAATCTTTGTGCTATATTTGTTGTCATTATTTATATGAAAATATTATTTATAATAAGAATAAAAGAAAATAGTTTTATTATTATTAACTTACACATAAAATAAGAATTATAGATTGAATTTTTTATTCAATTTATCAATCAAGATAAATTAATTAAATTAATTCATTTGTATTGTGAATTTTTAATTTTAGCATTGTTTAAGTTATCAGTTTTATAATATTTATTATATTAATATAACTATTAATATAACTTCTAATATACTCTATAAAAAACAAATTTCTACAATGTATATGTAGAATGTATGTAACAAAGAATAATAATTTTTAAAAAATAAATAAAAAATAAAAATTATTCATCTTATATAAAATATTATTCATCTTATATAAAATCTTATGTAAAAATATTAATAATCCTTATTAGATTCTAACAGAATAAATTAAATTGAAATTATTAAAAAGATTTCTACTCATTGTTTTGTGGATTCTGAAATTTCATAATAAGTCTTAATTAGAATACAAAAAACTATTCTTTTTCACTAATGCGGAAGGAAGTATAAATGTCAGAAGTCGAAGAGAGTTAAGATGTTTCCATCGCAGTTTGGATCGAACGAAAATGTTTTGCAGTGTTCGAAATCATGCGGTACTGGACTTCAAAGACGAAGGGTCGAATGCACAATGAGGAGAGGAAACCACGGGCCGGAAGTAACCGTAAGGGACGAGCACTGCTCGAGACTTGGTCTAAGAAAACCGAGATCACAGAGGTCCTGTCGACGTATTGCTTGCAACTATATTTGGCAGGAAGGATCTTGGTCTGAGGTATCTTCATACCTCGCCATTTTGATCTATAATCTATCGATTATGTTTTGCATTGCTTGGCTCTTGATCATTTCGATCCAATTTCCATATTCGGTTTTTGTTTTGATCTTTCGATCGAGTTTACTGATGAATTTGACGAATAAATAATTGAAAAATTATTTATAAATTTATTATATTGTGATGACTTATATTGAAGTATTTATGACTTATATTTGAAGTATTTATAAAAAAAAAATATGAATTGAAAATATTAATCAATTTAAATAAGACATATTATATTTGATGATTAAATATATTTGTAAACTCGATTTTGTATGTTCGATATTCAAAATTGGTTTTGAAGAAATTGATATTCATTGGGAAGTCGTATCCTATTGTATGGTTCAAGGGACATTGTCTTCACTAATCTTTAATCAATTTTTGTTAATCTTTTCGATAAAGAACTATAAACAATTCAACAATTATCATGACGATTATCATATATTTATATTTAATTTCAAGTTTAAAAGAAAATTGATACACATCAATGATAGATATTTTTCAGTCTTTTTTAAATCTTGATGTATTCCAAGATCCAATAGATGCAATTTAATCCAAAATTCATATTATCCTAATATGTTTAATAATCTTTATATTCCTCTAATGTTTCTTTCCATTTTAAAGATAAACTTTTTTATTTTATTTTATTTATCTCAAGAATAAATACAAAGAAATTAATACAAAAATATTTGTTTCTTCCATTGGAATTATTCCACTGTTTCTTTCCATGAAAAATAGTATAATAATTCATCCTATTAACAATATAATAACTCTATGTGTTAATTCCAGTTGATTCGCAATTGCATATTTGATCATTCGAATAAGCATGCGACTTGTATGATCTTCTTGAAATATATTCTATTGATGCAGCATGTAGAAATCATCGATATGCATGACATGTGACATTGATGTCATTCATTATTCTTTTTTAATACCAATGCATAAATTTATAATTTCATAAAGCATTCATGGAATATCATAATTCTATAATAATATTTATCTATTATATTTATTTCTTAATTAAAACGCACATTTATTTACTATTGAATGAGTCAATAGAATACAGATTACGAAATGATTGTTTCATTAAAATGTTTGCAGTTTAATTTATTGCAAGGAAAAATTATTACATGTTTCATTATTTTTATATATATAAGATGTTGTAAAGAAAAGATTTGCATTTATAGTAATTGTCAAGAAAAATAAATAATAATTAATTAATAATAATTAATAATAATAAATAATAATTATATAATTCTTTTTTGTAAGATAAAAATAATTGTAAGATAAAATTTTTAATGATTTCTAATAAAACATAAATTTACTTGTTTTATATTTTATGTATTATCATATACATTTATGTCATTATAATATCTATGAATATTCAATTTTTAAATTTATACAATTTATATAAATGAATAATGTATGGCCATGAAATGTTTGTCATAAATTATCACGCTTTTTGCTTATTCTTGAAAAATATTTATCGAGAAATTTTCTATAAATAATAGAAATCTTAAAAGATATTATAAACATTACTTCCATTAAAAAATTAAAAAATATAACAATTTTTTTTAATATATATTCTAAATATATATAAATAAAATATAAATGAAACATTATAAAAATTAAAAATTTTTCATCATTTTTATTCTATAGTCAATTGATTTGTTTCAAGTGTTCGAAAGAGTGTGGACAAGGAATTCAAACAAGAACAGTAAGCTGTCATCGTGTTAATCGGTATGGATTGATCGATCCTACGCCCACTGATAATTGTCCAATTGATCAAAAACCTGAGAATCAACAATTTTGCAAATTACGAGAATGCGATGATAAGTATTACTGGTATGCTGGACCGTGGAAAAAAGTAAGTTTAATATAATGAAATAAAGTATTGATTGAATTTTTATTCTAGAAGTCCATATATAAAAAAAATTGTATCTACTCTTTTTTTAAATTATATTCTTCTATTACAAAATCGAAATTTTTGGAAAATTTAAATTAATTAAATTAATTTTGTATCAAGAAAATATAATTGAAAAAGAAGTGGCATGTTAAAATTTTCTAAAATTTAATATATTTATTTTATACAAATAGCATTATATATAAAAATATATATAATGGTAAATATAAATAAAAAATTTTTTTCAAATAATTCTATTAATTAAAATATATATATAATATATATTTTAATTTTTGTCGATAAATTAGACAATGATCAAAAAATTTCGATAATCAGCGCCATCTTGTGAAAGAATGCTGGAAGTTTCGATTTATTACTAGTAATACAGAATGTGCAAGGAGGTTTTCATAATGTAAAAAAATCAAGAATGATATGCGAAAAAGAGAAAATATTTTAGTTATGCGGCTACTAAAAAAAATTTTTTCAATTTTTTTAATTGAAAAAATATAAATAATTCATTGACAAAATATATTCCATGGATAATTTATAGAAAAAAAAATACAATAGCAATTCTATATTTAAAAATATTTGATTAAGAAAAATTTAAATTTTATATAAATAGAAAATATATGCTAAAATACTGACAAAAAATCAACAAATAATTCTATATATTATTAATGTATTTAATAATATGTATATATATGTAATATAATGTATTATTATTAAAATATAAAAAAAATAAAATGCTAAAGAAATAACTTGAAAAAATTTCAATTACAGTGCAGTCATGCCTGTGGACAGAAGGGTCGTGAAACACGAAGAATATTCTGTTTAGATAGAGATGGTAGAAAAGTAGCTCGTTACAAATGTCCTAAGCGATTCAAGCCGCAACGCAAGCAAAAATGCAACCAAAGAAAATGTTATGCAATGTCTTGTCTCGAGGTAAAGAAGTATTTCAAAACTACCAAGGATAGTGAATATAATTTGGTCTTAGGTGGAAGAAGCATGTCGATCTATTGTCATGGAATGTTAACTTCTGAACCAAAAGAATATTTGACACTACCAGCTGGTCCTCAGGAAAATTACGCAGAAATATATGACAAGACGTTAGTATGAAAGATTTTTTGTACTACCATTGTTAATTCTCATTAACATATTCTTATTAACACTTTCTTTGACATATGTTATACAATTTATATTATATTTATATTTTAAGTCTTTAATTTTCATCTATAGCAATTAATGTTGAACTACTTATAAATTTTCATTTCCTACATTTTAGTCTGAATTTAAATTAAATTCAATATGAAATTTTTACATAGCTTGCAGAATTCTCAAAATAAATATATTAAAAAAAAAAATTATAAATTTTATATGTATATATTAATATATATTATACATATAAATAAATTTTTGATCATTCTAATTATAAAAGATTAATTTAATTAATTATACAACATAATTTTAATACTAAAAATTGATATTATATATTTTTTATTATATATTTTAGATTTAATGATCCTTATGTTTGCCCATATAATGGACCAAAGAACAACAATTGCAGTTGCTCCACTTCTGGAAAGACAACGTTCAGAAGAGTACGAATTGATCCTGTAGAACTGTATATTATAGGTATAATATTTTTAATAATAATTAATTAAATATTTTTATTCGTGATAAATAAAAATTTAAAAAATATATATTTTGTACCTTTTAGAAAATGATTACACATTTTCGTGGATGACAGGCTCAAATCGTGTCGAATATGGTACAGCTGGTGACTGTAATAGTATTGCACATTGTGCCCAAGGTCATTTTAGTATTAATTTAAGTGGAACTCAATTAAAATTATCATCAAGTATTGTTTGGACAGCAACACGCGGAACATCGATAAAAATTAATCATATTGTAAGATTATAATATTCTATTTATATCATAAAATATTATTTTCCTGCTATAAGAATATTTATTTATTAAAAAATTGAAAAATAACTAGTGATGGAATATTATAAACATAATTATGTTTCTAATCATAGAACAATCAGCATATCACTGGAAAATGTGGAGGCTATTGTGGCTCATGTAAACCGAAAAACGGATTAAAACTAGATGTTTTACCACCGTAGTCCATCTTATATAAAGCTTAATAATCTCTAAATGCCTGTAAAATACAGGTAGGTAAAACAAAATTTTGAAATGTATTAATTATTAATATTACATTAACTAATATTTACATTGAATATGTGCTTTTAAAAATAGAATATATTATAATAAAAATTGATAAGAAATGTCTTTTTTTTATTTTTGATTATAAAATTGATATAGTTATAATTGTAAATTTATCATGAACAATATTATAATTTTCAGCAGATAGAAATTCCAGTAATGGATTTTTGAACGTGTCACAAAAGAGTTCGACAAACACAAGATGAAATCGACAAGATCCATTGCCGAACCAATATTTTCATTTCTCTGAATCATTCGCTTAAATCGTTATTAATCCTTGTGATTTTTAACGAAATAATCATTGTATATCGATGTCAAAACAAGACAATAGACTCATATACATAGAAAATCTTGAAATCTACAAAATAACAAATATGGTAAAAAATAATTAATATAATATTAGTTAATTCTTTGAATATTTGCATTTAATTATTCAATAATTTTATCTAATAAGAAGGATGTTCATAGGAATTGGAGTTTTTAATAAGCAATTTTCCAAAATATTTTTATATTTAAAATATTAAATAAAAAAAAACTTAAAGCGAAATACTATTCAAAATTAATAAATTCCAAATAGGATATTATGTATAGTTTCACAAACTGAATTTTTCATCTTTCCGAATTATTCATCGAATTCTAACTATTTGTGTTCAATTAACAAATTCATTTAGTTATATAAGTAACTTAATGTCCGGTAAGAATTGCAGTATTCGTTTTGTTTATACTCATTAAAACATGACTGCCCGAAAAGCTAATTGTTTATCTAACAAGTTCATCAACAAAAAAAAAATGCGCATACGAAAAATGAAAAGTAATATAATAAAACGTATGCAATTAAGTACAAAAACAAAAAATGGCAAATGATATAAAATCCATAAAAATACGTTTGCTTTAATCAAGTTGAAAAGTTTCAATCAAGGATTTATGATTGATCATATTAAGAAAAATTAGACTGTCTCTTCCCAAATCTTCTAAAACAATGGTGCTATTATAAGTTTACTTAAAAAGAATGAAATTAATTAAACATAAGTGAAAACATATATAATCTAGAGCCAATTAAAATTTTATCCTTTCAATTCACTTTTTATTATTAAAATTTCATTGTTAGAAGAAATGTTTTCTACAATAGATACATATTAAATTTTTTCTAAATAAAATTGTTACTTCTATTTTAATAAGATATATTGTAAACTATGAAATTATAACTATAACTTATTCAAAAATAACGATTTTATCAAAGAAAAATTATTTACAATATATTATTTCACTTAGTATTTGACTATTTTATTAAATATTAAAATTTTTATTAAATATGATTTTTCTCAAGAGAAATATATTTATTATCGAGAAAAGTATAATCATAATCATCAAATGTCTATGCAAATAACTAAATATTCAGATAAAATATATTTTTACTTATTAATGTTTTTATCAAAAGAAAAATATTCTCCTTATATAATAGAAATATAGTAGAAAATATTTTTCTAATGATACAAATAAACAAATAGAATAAATAAAAAATAATAAAATTTAATAGAAATCCAAATATGAAAACATTTATTCTTATCAATTAAGTTATATTAACAAAAAAAAAAAAATTATAAAACGCGAAATAAATTCATGAACGAGACACATTTCCTTATTGCATGAAACAATATGTTTTGCCACTGCCATGTAAAGTGTTCATCGAATTAGTACAATGACATTCAATATCAAAAAATTAATTATCATTTGATTTGACAATAACAAGAGTAAAATTAAAATAAAGTTAGAGTTTATTATATTTAAATTTTATTAAAAATTAATAATTTAAATTTTTATATATTGTTAAATATTGAATCAAATTTTTAAAAATTCTCATAAAAACTTGAAAAATCATGACAAAATTTTATAAATAAATATAGATTTTATTTAATATTTTATTGTATAATTTCGTGTAATAATTTCGTTTTTGTATTTGTTACTCTTTTTTTTCATTTTTTCTTATTTATAACTACATTATATTTAAGTGAAATAAAATATCAATCATATTCATTTTAATCTATTATTATTAATTCTTTACAGATGTACAGATACGAATGTTACACTAATCCGAGAAACACTATATCTTTATATTTTCATGTTTTCTATATATATTGAATATTGAATATAATGAATAAATTTTTCTGCATCAATCTCATATTCAGAGAGAACAAAAGCAGAAAAAATGCAAATATAGATATCATTTAGATGCTAGTTATATAGAACAATACATTACGGGATTATAATTTGATTTTAGTATTTTGCAATTTTAATGATGCGTATAATAATAATGAATATCATAGGCAAGCTATAATTTAGCATAATAGTGTTTTAGGAGTTAGCTGATTCAGCTAATCGAAATTCTAAACAAATTAACTTATTAACTTGAGACTACATATAATAAACATCGGTAATGATTGGATAATAATTCATCCAGTTCTGCATCGATTATTTTATAGAAATACATATATTAAAATAGAAACATAGAATTTAGTAAATGTATACATTTATTAGTCAATATATATATGTATTTATATAAAATTTATATATATGTATTTATATAAAATTTAAGCAATTAATTAAATAATAAAAACGCTAAAAAATTTATACATACTTTCATTAAATCAGAAAGAATAGAATAATTTTAGAATAAATCTAAAATATAATTCTATATAGTAAAATTTTAAATTTAGTTACTTGTGAATATATTTATTGAATAAATATAACATATATATTGACTAATAAATAATTAATTTATGAATACATTTACTGAATTAATATATTAAGTGTAACATATTTATAATATGCCTTTTTTTAAATGAAGATTTAGGAGAGCATTAAGCATACATTGGATGATTTTAACAACTAGATTAGGTTATATCTCTGTTCTAAATGAAAAGGACTAATTGCAATTCTAATTTCGCTTAGAATAGAGATACAGAAATGTATAACTTGTTGCTAGAATTATTTTGTATATTTTTAAACTTTTCTAAATTACTAAGTAGACATGTCGTTCACATCGTTTGTTGACATTATCTTTTTGATCAAATATTCATGATTCCATATATCCATCAATTAAAATAAGTAATGAGAAAGGAGATATTTAAAAATAGATATCGTACCTAGACCAAAATATCAAAACAGTTTTTTTTTTTTAAAGTACAAATCCATTTTGGCTGAGGTGCGATTAACTTTTTTCCTGTTCTCATTAGACTTCAACGAAGAACTTAAAGAAAATTTAGAACTAGAAGTAATACATATATATATATATATATGTAATATTTCAATAGACTGCCATAGTTTGTTATTATATCAATGTAATGATTATATTAAGAAGTATTTTTTAAAAAGCGAATATGATGAATTTGGTCATAATATATAGGATGATTCTATAAATTGAAACTATCTATTCTTTTTATTATTATTTTAATTATTTTTTAAAACAAAATAGAAAAATAAAAACAAAAATCTTTTTTTATATAGAACTACAAAATACTTTTATTATTTTATAAGTAAAAGTATTTAAAAATAAATTATAAAATTTATAAATATTTCATATTTTCATTATTGAAATATTTAATGTATTTCTTTTATATAAAATATGACACGAGATATTATTTCTATCAATAATTCTATTTTATCAATATTCAAAAAGAAAAAATCATCTGTTCCAAGAATCACTCTATATAATAAAACAATAATTAAGTAGTAAATCAATTCACTGCCTTCAATATTTGTAAATTTTAAATAACCAATGTAAATCGAAAAAGAGAATATAAATTTTGTATAGCCGTATGATCAAAATTTTCGTTACAATAATGCAAATCGTAATAAATAAAAAAAAAACAAATTAGATCATTCTAATTTATATATGATTACAATTACGATAATAAATAAATAATATTTGTAACGAAAAAATAATGTAAAACAAAAAAAGAAAATGAATTGTATAGCTTGATTATATATTGACGAATATTTTTTAATGTATAAAATTTATTTATTTTTTAGAATTATTTTTCTTTCATTAAATATATTCGTCAATAGATAAAATGCAATTTGAAGACTCATTAAGAAATGTATTCCATAATTAATATACATATATATATTTTCTTATATACATATATATTCGAACATCGAACTATAATTTATCAACTAACACATGACAATTTTTTTCACTCGTATCTTGTTTTTTACTCGACATACTCTATATATGTATATTTATTTTACATTTAAAATGCTAATTTTTATTTGAACTTCTTTAAAAGATAATAAATTGTCTTCATCTTGCTAACATATCAAATATATTTTGCAAATATTTTGAAATATGTTATCTTGTTGCAAATGCATATAAGTTTACAATCTGCGATCTCGAAATCCGTAGTTGATTTAACATTTTCTTTTTTTGCCTTCCATAAAACAAGAATAAGCAAATAACTGTTCTAAGCGCTAGTATAGCGAAACAGCATTGTACAGTTTCGTTTAATAATAATTTATTAGTATGTATTTCGTTTTAATATCATTCATGTGTAGCTTAATGTAGAAATGATAATTAGTACCAGTGTACGGCAATTATTTAAATATATTAAATTCACAAACAAAAATTTTCCATATTCATTTGGAAATTTTTTTTATCATACAAAAATTATCTTTCCTTATCAAAATATAATTATAATAACTAAATTAAAAATATTAAATTATTTATATAATGATAATTTAAATAAATATTAAATTATTTATTAATAAAACTTTATAATATAATATGATATTATAATATTATATAAAAATATTGTATATAATATATTTGAAATTATATTTTAATTATATTAACATTTTACAATAATTATTTTAAAAGTAAAAGTAACTATACATAATGTAATAATTAACTACTTTTCAGCATATTAATTATTTATATTAAATGTTCCATGTGTAAAACTCTATAAGTATTATTGTAAAATTACTATATGTATGTACATAATATATATATTGTATAATATTGAGTTTTGTTATACAATATATACTAACTATATATTTATATAATATAATAATTAACAATTTTTTAAAGCATGAAATTTTATTTTTTTATTAATTGTATATTGTGTTTAATCTTCTTTGTGCAAAACTCTACATAAATATTATTATAAAATTATGTTATTATATATATACTATATATACACTATATATATATATAATACTTTCTTAGAGTTTTATTATAGAATAAATATTTTTTATTTTTTTTGTTTTCTTAAAATATGTATTCTTAAAATTTTTTGATTATGATAACAAAATAATTGCAATGATAAAATTTGATAATTTGATAATTAATAAAATTTTCTTAATGTACAATAAATTTTACTAACAATAATCAAACATACTATATTTAATTATATAACATCTTTTGAAATAGAAGTTGAATTTAGATTAAAATTATTAATGCGTAAGAGATTTTCTTGAAATATTGATTTTGGAATTTTTATATGCCAATTTGGACAAATCGTATTTATTTCATTTCCATTATTTTTTTTTAAAGAATCTCGTGTTATACGCTTTTTTGTTATACGCTCTTGACCTAACCTATTTTGATTAATATATTTGTTCATTTGCTCTTCCGTCAGTCTTTGTAAAACAATTTTACATTCTCGAGTATTTATTGTAGGTTTTATAATTTTTACTAAGTTAGAAGATAAATTAGAAGATACAGTTTGTCCATTAATATCGTTTATAAAGTGCATTTCACGCCTACCTAATTTTTCGTTTTTCTTAATTTTGATTTTAATCTTTTTACTAAGTGGTAGATTCTTTTGTATGAATTTAGGTAACATCATCTTGATTTTTAATGGTTTACTTTTTTTCTTTGACTTTACTTTTTCTGCTATATTTACATAAGTTTCTAATTTGTAATATTTTTGTTTTGTAGCTTCTAATTTACGTCGATCCTCTTCAATCTGTATTTTCAATAGTTTCACTTTCTTTTTTAATGCCTTTTCATATTTTTTTTCATAACGTTTTAATTCTTTTTTAATTTTTTGAAACTCTGTGGACAAATGTTTTTCTTCTGTCACTAATTTTTTAATTTTTTGCTTTCTTAATGCTGTTCTTGATATTTCATTCTTACTTATAATATCATACTCATCTATTTGTTGTTTAAGCATCTCAAAAATCATTTGAATTTTATCTTCATTGTTATTATTTTTTACACTTGCAATTATATCCATCTCGAACAATAAGATATATACATATAATAGCTTAGTCATCAACTTACTAAATCTAACAATGTTTACCAGCGTTATTGCTAGATGGCTACGAATTTATGAATAGTATTTAATTCTCACTTTTTAGTAGCATTACAAATGAAATAGCAGATAACCCAACATATAATAAAATTTTATGTTTCATATTTTAAAAGATGCAAAAAATTAAAGAATTTGATATATTCTTTATGATTTAGAACTTAGTGAGTGCAGAAATTATATGTGATATATAGAAATAAAAATACAAAAATATAGAATAATATATAAAAATTATATGGAATAGATTTTGTTAAAATTTTTAATCAATAAATTAAATAATGATATAAATTAATCAAAAGTCGATACCATCTTTTGAATATTTGAATTCGTAAATATAAATAAGAAAAATAAATAAAGGAAAAAGATAGAAACATGATAAGAATTAATCATTAACGCAATCTCTTAAGTATAAAAATATGTTTTTAAAAATATTCAAAAGATGGCATTGATTCCCAATTCTTATTCTAATCTGTCTTTAAAAAGATATTTTTGGAATTCGAAAAATAGCATTAATTAATTTTTATTCTTTTTCTATCTTTTTCTTTTTTTTTTTAGTTGCTTTCTTTATTTATGTAATTTCATCTGCAGCATTTTAAAGATAGTGTTAATTCTCTATGATCTATTCTTTTCGTACTATTTGTTCTTGTTCATAATTGTTTCATAGTTCTTCGAACATGACTAAAGATATGAATGTCAATTAGACATATTTTTGTTATTTTTCTTTCAAAACTAGAATTTTAATCTTTAATATAAACAAATATGGATATATCCTAAACAATCTCGTGAAACATAATATATATTTAATAATAATGATGTGAATATTTTAATGTAAAATTTTTAGTGAAATTTAAATAAAAATCTGGACTGACAACAACAGAAATTTTAAAACATTCTATCGAAATAAATATATTATAAAGATTCTTTTTTATTGAATCTATTTCTATCTACTTTCTATTTCTTCACTATTTACAATCTTATAAAATATTTTTAAAATATACAATCAATAAAATTATATTAAACATTCTCAAAAAATATATTTTTATTATAAAATTATGATAAATAAAATATTCATAAAGTTTTTATGTATGTGATATTTATTTCAGTTTGAATAATAAAAATATTATCTATTACTCAAATAAAAGATTAATTGTGAATTTTACGATAAAAAAAGATAAAAAAAAAGATAAAAAATGTTTTTCAATTGAATAAGTGAGTTAAATGATAAATAACTTTTATTTAATTAAATATTTTTACGATTGAGATTCTTAATTAATAATTACGAAATAAAATTCTATCAAAAAAAAAAATTTATATAAAGTAATATAATATAATTACTATCTTCAGTAATATATTATTATAGATTATTATTATAAATATTATTTAATAAAATAAAAATAAACTTAAATAAATAAAAAAATTGAAAATTAAGTAAAAATTATTCTTCAAAAATTCGTATATTCTTCATAAATATATAAAATATTTGATATTTTATAATTAATTATAAAATAATTATTAATAAGAATATTTAATTTCAAAAGCTATTATATAATTGAAAATAAAAATAAAAATGAAATAAATAATTGATGAATATATATATTTCTTGTCATAGATTTATATTATTATAATGAAGAAGATGAAAAAATTCTTAAGTCTTTAAATTGCACACATATATACTGCATATGTACATATATCATCATTATGTAATATTTAAAAATAATATATTTTTTAAACATTTTAAATCATAATCTAAAAACAAATCTAGATCTAAACTTTAAAATTTAAATTTCTAATCATAAAAAAAATATTTTCATAATTTTGAATTATATGTTGGAAACAGTAATCTTATTTAAAATAAAATATTGATAATGAAGATATATAATCTAATGAAAGTATTTAATACCATTAATTTCATATTTACAAAATTTTTTTTTCTCTCTATTCTTTTTATTCTTATTTAATTATATTTTTATAATTTTTATTATAAATAATATGAATTTAATTTTTCATCTTAATTCATCTCTTTATGAATAAATCATTAAAAAATTTTTATTGAAGAATAACTGAAGAATAAAGAAGAAATATATATATATATATGTATATATGTTTAACAGCAAAATATACTAATTATCAAGTTTTAATTTTCTCAATAAGTCTTTCTGTTAAAAAAATGATAATTAAAATCATACTGAAATTGCAATTTATTTCTCTATTAAAAAATGAATTTTTTTTTATAAAATTTAACGAACATATATTACATTTAACATATATGTATGTATATATGTATATATGTATATATATATATTAACAAATTTAACAAATTAACATTTAACAAATTTGTTTGATTTATGAATTATTTAAAAGATTTAATAAATATAAATATAATTATTATTATTATTACAAATATAATTTAAATATCAAGAAAAAAAGAAATGGCTTGAATTGAGAAAAATAAGCAGAATAAATAAAAATTATTAAATGATATAGTAGATTTCAGTTCAATTTTTAATATTTATTTGCATATATGCATAAAAAAGATATTATATTTAAAGAAAATATTATTACACAATACTATAAAAATGTTTAAATTATATATTATAACCCATGTTTTATATTATATAATTTTATTTTATATTTTATATTTTATATTTTATATATATTTTTTTATATATTTTATAACATACCATATTGTTATATCAAGAAATTTGTTATATTAAGAAATTTTTAATTCTTAATACTCAAGTAAAGAAAGATAATGTTATTAAGCCTTTTATAAAAAATATTTATCACATTTCATCATAATATTAAATGTTTTATTGATATATGATTTTCAATTTCATTAAAAAAAATAAAAAATATTAAAATAAAAATTTTTATTAAGATATACAAGATAATTAATAAAATTAAATTTTTATTTGTGTAGAAATTTTCATAAACTAAATTTCATCAGAAATAACATAAAATATGTTTGTATATAAATACAAGAAAAATACATCCATGTAAAAAATAGAATCCATTACAATAAAAAATAGATATTTTACCAATAATTAATCAACTTAGAATCATTATATAATTGTCCAATGACAAATTGATAAAATGTACTGTGAGTATACCTGGAAATGTTATCATTTATTTTTTTCTCTTCTTTTCAATGATTCACTATTAGATTATAAGCGAATTACATATAAAAAGGCAAGTCTATCTGTCAATTCGCAATTCGCAAAAAAACGTGATATAAATACACTGAAACTTCTTTTTTCGCAAATATGAAATTATTCATTTTCTTTTGCCTTCTAGTGACTCTCTGTGCTGCACAAGTAAGCAAATAATCAATTAACTAATCGTTGATTCTATCGATTTAAGAATTTTTAAAAAATAATAAAAATTTTTGATAAATGAAATAGTAAGAATTATTTTTTCGTATTTAAAAAATTATGTTTTGTAGATTCTGTACGTACATCATAAGATTCATTAATCTTTAAAAATTCTTAATATAATAAAAAAATTATAAAATATTTTTGAACATGTGAAATATTATGTAGTAAGTATTTATAATTTTTAATAATTTATTAAAATAAATTTATTTTAAATTAAATTTATTAAAATTCATTAAATTAATATGAATTAAAACCTAATAAAAAATTAATATAAAGTATTAAGAAAAATAAATCATCATTAATATTATTTTATACAATTTTTAATCAGATTTTTTTAACACAAAGCGAAATTATGCCGTTGTTTTCTTAATAAAATGTTTAAAAGTTTATATAATATTATAATTATAAAATTTCTTAGCGATATTTTGAATAATACGAAATTATTGATCGACCTATTAATAATATAATTTAATAATATTTATTCTTCTTTAAGAATTAATATAGAATTTTTATTTAAATTATTTTTAGTGGCCTGGTAATTCATTGCAACAAGCAAGTGAGGCTGTGAAGAAAGCTAAAAATTCAGTTCAAACTATTTTGTCGGACTTAAATCGTTCTAAATCTTCTATAAGGAGAGATGCAGAACAGAAAATTTACTCATATCAAACTCAATCTACAAATCAAATGCTCAACAATAAAAACTTTATTCTTAATTATATTAAAGTAAGTTAGAATAGATTAAAGTAAGTAAATGATTTTTAATAAAATAATAGAAATATATTAATAATAGTATATAATAAACTATCTTTTTTATAAAACGATTCATTTTAAAATAGATTCAATAGTTTTATCTCCTAATAAAAATTATATTTTATCTCTTAATAAAAATTATATTTATTGAAAAATATATTTAGTCTACTTGCAATAACAATGATTTTTTATGCTATACAAATCATCAATTATTATTTCTAACTAAGTAAATTTTTAACTATTATTATTTTAAAATTTTATTTTTCATAATATAATTGCCTTCTAGAAATAACTTTTTTAGAAAATATTATATATATTAATTATATAAAAGTTATTAATTAATATTAATTAATATATCAATTGAAATTAAGAGGTTATTAAAACTTAAAGTGATTGAAACTAGTTAAAGCATTATTAAATTTATAAAAATTTAGAATTATTAATTATAATTATATTTTTTATTAGAAAAAAAGAGAAGAAGCAAACGAATCAGGCAAAAATGCTGATGATTGCTTGGATGCCGTCACAAATAAAGTGAATAATGCCTATCAAAAAGAATACAATAGTCTCAATCAATGTAAAAATCAAGCAATGCAAAGTATTGAAGCAGAATTACAAGTGCTTGATGCTCAAGAAATAGTATGTATCATGCTCTTTTATTTATTGAAAATTATTTATATAAAAATTTATATAAAATTATAGAATGAATATCATTCAAATATAATATTAAAGAGAATTTTAAAAATAATTTGTATGTTATAAATTACTTTTAATTTACTTTATAAATTATTTTTAATTTTCAGATTGGAAAGAACTTGTTGAATGAATTGGATCGTGTTGTTTTAGATTGTTATAATTCAAATACTATGCAAATGGCAAATTGCATATTTATAAAAGTTGGATATATCAATCAAAGGATTCGTCAATATCAACAAGAAATTTCACAGGCAAAAAGACAAATACAAAATAATCAATTAAAAATATTGTCAATGCAAGCTTCTTGCAATTCAAATGCTCAATCTAGATTTCAAAGCGTAACTTCTCAAGCTATATATGACACAACAGATTGCCTCAAAGACTAAAACTTATTGTTTAAAAAATTATTTAATTTTAATTTAAACATTGAATTCATTAATATTGAATTGAAAATTATTTATCATGTATAAGATATAATTCATATTTATATATAAATTAAAGCTTAAATATTGAATTATAATATTAATTATATAAAATTATATTATTTATAATAAACATTCAAAATTTTATACATTGTATTATATTTCTATCTTATCTTACAAAATATATTTTATAAAAAAATAAAAAAAATGAAAAATTCTTTTAAAAATTCAGAATTTACATCTGCAAGCTTTAAATAATTTCTATTTACTAATGACTACAAAAATTTCAAACATTCTATATTTATATTTATCATCATATTTTGTTTCTTTAATATTTTATATTTTTTAATATTCTATAATCTGAAAATAATATTTTTATAGATATAAAAAAAAATAATTATTATTACAATAATAACAATTTCCAATTTTAAGAGAACTAAAGTTACTAATTAAAGTTAATTAATTAAAGTTAAATTAATTAATATGTATGTAATTAAATTTTCTAATTCAATTACATAAAAATCTCATAAGATAGTTGATTCTTCTAATCTCTTATTTTTTAATTTTAAATTTATTTTTTTTAAATTTTATAAATGAACATCATAATGTTAATAATACAAATTAATTTTATTATTATTAATATATAATATAAGTATATTATTAATATACTTGCTTATTATTATGAATTAATAAAAAGCATAATTTTAAAATTTTGATAAACTTAGAAAATTAAAAAAACTAATTATATTTTATAAAAATTTAATATTTTAATATTATTAAAATAAGTTTATGAATGTTTAATTTTAATTACAAATCAATTAATTTTAATTCAATTTCATTAATAAAGCATTATATCATATTTTTTTATATGCTAAAATGTATTTTAAATAATGTTGTATTATGTATTTAAAAAAAAGGAATTACATAAAGAATTATATATACAAATAGCATATTTATAATCCAATAACAGTTGTTTTATATCAACGTAAATAAATAGGAAAATTAAATATTAATTATAAAAAATGAAATATTTTACAAATAGAATTTTTATAAAATATTTTTAATTTTCAAAAATTTCATAACTTATTTCTTTAATATAATAATTATTCATTTACCATAATTATGTTACAATAATTAAAACAAATTTTTTATATGTACTTACATCATATTCATCTATCTCTACATAAAATAACCTTTATATGTCATGTCTATAACTTATATCTTGATGTAGTCATTCAAATATTCTCTATTTATATTTGTAATAAAAATTTAAAATTTGATTGATATAATTTAAAATTTAGCATTACATTATTAGTAATTTCAATGTGCATATCAAAAATTATTATTTTGCTAATATTGAAAACAAAATATTAAAATATTGTTGAGCAATGATTGTAAAAATATTTGATTAGTTTCATTTATCTAATCTAAAAAATGTTTAAAACAATTGTTAAAAAAATTTGATATATAATAATATATATCTTGTCTTTTATTTTTTATTTATGAATTCTTCTAATCGATACTTTTATAATGTAATTATGAAATAAATAATTATGAATAATATTTCATATAAAAAATATATGAAATATAAAAAATTATTAAGAAAAATAAAAATAAAAATTAATAAATTTAAATTAATAAACTAATTTAAAAAATATATTACTATCGAATAGTAAATAATATGTAAATATTTATATTTTTTGAGAAAATTATTATTATATTTTATAGAATAAAATTAGTAATGTTTGTTTAAATGTGAAACTTACTTTACTTAAATTTTTCCAAAATTATAATAAATTAAAATTAATTTTCTTTTAGTCTTAGAAAATATACATAGATTTACTGCTGGTTCATATCATAGTTCAAGTTACTATATATATATTATTCAATGTTAAAAAAGATCAATGAAATAAATCATTGAAACTATTTAGAATTTTTAAATTAAAAAAAACATTTTATCTTTGAAATATTTAAAAAATTTCAAATAGAATAATTTTAACATTGTAATAATAAAACATTGATTAAAAATTTTGCATTTTCTTGCAAAAGTTAATTTTTAATTCTAATATTTTTTTATCGAATAAAATGTTGTATATTGTATTTTTATTTATTACACAAATTTAGATTTAATTATTTAAATTTGTACTTATTAAAAGATGTTTTAATATAACTACATAATTTTTTTGTTAATGTATTCATATTGAATTCATTATTGAATTTTTTTTTATATATTCTATAAGTTTTCAAATTTATAATTTCATATAGAACCACACAACACAATTCGTTATAACAAGAATGAAATTACATTTTAATTTTTACAAAAAACATAATTATTTCATATTATATTTTATCTGTAAATGAATGTAATTTATTCTCTATAAAGGCGTATGTATGTTGTATATATTTGACATTAATTGTAAAAATTTGTTTAAAACTTAACAAAGGCCGTGTAATATTATACATTAATATAAAATATTCTATACGCATTTTATAATCTACTCATAGATATATCCTTGGTTTAACATTCATTATGTATATTCGTATATGTACACATAAGTGCATCATATGTATATTTTGTAGACTTTACTTAATTAAATAGTTGGTTCAAAGGAAAGATAAAATTGTATTATATAAAAACGAATACTTTTTTTACAATCGTACAAGGGGTAAATATTTAATTTACATCGGTTGAAACATAATATGTTGAAATTCTCGAAACTACACTGTATTACAGACTAACCTTTGACTTGAAAAAAGCCATTTTCCCCAATATTTTTCAATTATTAAATTAGTTGTATTGTATTAAGTTGTATTGTTATTAGTTATATTGAATTATATTTTAATCTTATGCGCTACTTCATACAGGAATTACTAAATTTACTACCTATTTCAACAGACATTCATCTCCATAATAACAACATAGACATCGAGTCATAATAAGGATAATGATAGTCTTATATTTTGTTTCAGGTCACACGATGATTATCCGTGGCACAGATATCAGCGAATTAATTCGACCAGCTGATGATTTTGTTGCAATAAATGTATTTCTTCTTATTTTCTTGTTTTTCACTTAAAACTAAGAATAGCAATAGTAGTAATTTATAGCAGCAGCAGCAGCAGCAATAATAATATTTATAATAATTATCGTTAACATATTTTGATAAAATTATATTAATAATTATAATTGTAATCGTCATGACCATCATCATTTATATACATATATATTACGTGAATATGCGTACATGTATGATGACACACATTTATATCGTCCAAAATTATCATAAATGTACGCATATATTTCACGTATTAAATTTTTTCATAAGAAATCTTATAGGTATGTATGAATTCAGCTCACATAATCTTTTTTTTTGTTCTACATTTTTCAGGATAGTGGCTTATTTCTAAAATAATAATTGTTTTAAGATATCTTAAGAAGTGATCGTTAGTACCGCGACGCATATTTTTTTTTTTGCATAATAAATAATATCACTTTTATAAATATTTTTTTTTTAGATAAATCTATCATTTTAGAATATAATTATTGTATAAAAAATATTTTTTCATTGCAAAAATGTATTTTTTAAAAAAAGAAAATTATTTATATATGTTAATAAAATTGCCTTTTGATTTTTATATATTTTTATATATTTATATTCTTTTCAATAGATTTAATCTCTTATAAATATTATATATTTTATAATATTAAAATAAAAAAAATAAAAATTATTAACTTTTAGAAATAAATTAAATGTTTTTTGTATATTGCATGATATGTTTAATTTTTTAACAAAATCTTTGTTTTTTTAAATAATATTTAATAAAGTTCATGAATATATCTAAATCATTTTTAAAGGATACAATAAAAAATTAAAAAATTATTGCATCGCGGCATCAAAACTTTCACTTCAGGGAGGAATTTAAATATACATGAAAATATTAGTATGTAAATATTATAAGTGGATTGAGAATATCAAATGACAAATTATATTATAATTATTGAGATTTTTTAAGAAAGGAATTTTTTTTCTTGAAAACGCACTAGCCTTTTGAGATTAAGATGATCGTGAAATATCAGGAAATACGCATTAATTTTATTAAACAAACTCAATATTATTTAAATTTATGCAAAAAATATGAGTTATTTTTTGAAGATAAGAATATCTTGATCAACATAACAATTAGCAAGATTTAGATTATTGAAGAAATTCAGAGGTAATTAAATAATTACAATATTTTAATAAAAATCCATTATTTTATAAAATTATTTATATATGTATTTGAAATATATTATGTTGAATAATAATAAAATTTTCATTTTATTTGACAATAAAAATTAGATTTTAGAAATAATCAAATATATTCACAAATATTTCTAGAACTTTTCAATAAATGTGATTGAATCATGAGCAAATTTATAATGATCTAATTGTTATGCTAAGTGTGTTCCCAACCCATAAATTTTCCTCCCGATATAAATTATGCCTATATGATTCATAAACATCGTAGTATCATTCCACAATGAAGAACATCAACAATGAGCTGTAAAGATGCAATTTAAAAGGGCAGCTCATACTGTTCGCTATACCCAATAAGAGAGCATTACAATTTTTGGAAATAATGTGTTGAAATATTGCTGGATAAGTGAAATATCAACACAAATACACAATATAAAATACAATATAGTCTTTCATGTAATGAAGCCAATGAATGCTCCTTGGTACAAAATTTTTCTAATTTTATTGTTTAAAATGCATTGCTTATAAACTTTTTTATATACATATATTTTTCCACAATATTTCACATAATTTCAATAAAAAAAGTTCCAATACTATAAATATGCTTTAAAAATATCTTAATGAAAAATTGAATAAAGAAAACCAAGGTGCATACTTAGGACTTCCAAACACATCAAGCTCGATATAGTATTTTTTAAAATGCGCAGGTACGCGAATGTACGATCTGACCTGTGCATCTATGTGCTTATCCAAAATTTCCATCACTCAAAGACCTAGCAGGCACAAGAATCACCTTTGCCATTGTTTCGTTGATCATTCGTCAACTTAATTTGGTCTGGGAATTCATTATATAATTCCACCTAAAATAATAGTATTATTTATTATATAATGTTATTAATGTTATTTAAATATATAAAATAAATAATATAAAAAAAGATGATTTACTTCGCTTTCTTGAGCTAAAGCATTCTTTGCTATCGTTTGGAAAGCTTGTTCAACATTAATGGCTTCTTTAGCACTAGTTTCAAAATATGGAATATTATTTTTAGATTGACACCATTGTTGTGCTTTTTTACCATGAATCTGAAAAGTATTTATTAAAATAAGCTAGTTAAAACTTAAATCAATTAAAGCAAATAGAAATTTTTAAGTAAAAAAAAAAAAAAAATTAAAAAAATATATAACAAAATTATATTCAAAATATTCTTACCACTTTGGTTTCCAAATCAACTTTATTTCCAAGTACTACAAATGGAAAATTATCTGGATCTCGAGGAGAAGCTTGAATCAAAAATTCATCTCTCCAAGAGTCTAAAGATTTAAAGCTACTTGGTGCAGAAACATCAAATACAAGTACACAACAATCAGCACCTCTGTAGAAAGCAACGCCTAAAGATTGAAACCTTTCTTGACCAGCTGTATCCCAAATCTATTTAAAAATAGAAGATAAAGAATAGAAAAAAATATATATAAGATATAAATATTATAATATAATATTATAATATAACATTACATAAATATTATTTAATACACATTTACCTGCATAGTAACTATCCTATCATCTACCATTACTTCTTTGGTAAGAAAATCTGCACCTATAGTAGCTTTATATTGATTGCTAAATTTTTTGCTTACATACTGATTCATAAGAGAAGTTTTACCAACTCCAGAATCCCCAAGAATAATGACTTTAAGCAATATTTTCTTATGAGAAGCCATTGTAAACTAAAAACAAAAAAATATGTTTACTATAAATTTTGTTAATATATTGAATTAAAAAATATAAACTGACATTAAAATTCTATTTAAAAGTATAATCAATTAGAAAACTTAATTATAACATTAAAAAATTTTATTTAAAATCATTTCTATAAAAATGTATTAAAATATATATATATATAAATCTCTCTTAGAATATTAAGATTTTTAATTAAATATATATATATATATATATATAT